TTGAAGAGTATCCATTTTACACCATCAATCAGGAGGGGAGGGGAGAGAGAGGGGGGGCACACACAAATAGGTACATTTCAACTGACATTCTAGAGTCGGGGGGAGGGATTCCCTCAGCTTGTTCTAAAGCTAACTAATTGTTCCTCATTGAGGACTGCAGACTTGGGCAATGTGGGGTTGAATTCCAACAGATGCCAGCCACAGATGCAGGTGAAACATCAGGACAAAATACTGCTAGAACACGTCCATATAGCCCGGAAACCACACAACACTCTTTTACTAATTGCTGCCATACTAACATTGTCAGCAGCAGCATCAGATGATGAAGATGAGGGTGATGTCATTTTGGACCTGGGCATCTCAGATTGTGTGTCAAAAGAAAACTATATTTATGTGTATCTCCAAAAAGAAGACTTGTGATTTGTAGAAACTTTTTTATTAATAATATTTAGAGTCATCTCTCTGTATCCACAGATTCTATGTCAAATTCAATTATCAATTGAAAATATTTTTAAAACTATAAAAAGTAAACCTTGATTTTGTCATTTTCTATCAGTGACACCATTATATTTTATATGGGACTTGAGCATCTATGGATATCAGTATTCATGAGGGGCCCTGGGACCAAATCCCAGTAGATGTTAAGGGTCCTTTATCTCCCAGCCTCCCAGATATCCCAAGGAGGGCTCTAGACAGACATTAGATGGCCATCTCATGTTTTGTTTTGTTTTTTTATCATATCAGAAGCAACTTGAGAAACTGCAAGTCTCTTCTGGTGTGAGAGAATTGGCCATTTGCAGAGATGTTGCCCAGGAGACGCCCAGATATGTTACCATACTGTGGGAGGCTTCTCTCATTTCCCCACATGGGAAGCTGGAGCTGACAGATGGGAGCTCACTCCGCCTCACAGATTTGAACCGCCAACCTTCAGCAGTTCACCTGGCACAAGGGTTTAACCCATTGTCCCACCGCGGCTCCACATCTCGTGGTAATGCTTTAGCTTTCTGTTCCTGTTCGATGAGGTATTAGACTAGCTAACCTCTCAAATCTTTCTCTCTATGATTCTGTGAAAGATTTCTACAACAGAGGTTTTAAAACTGCTTCTTTTAGAGATACTGGAATACACCCCTTTTGACTAACCATTCATAGTTTCACCATTCAATTGTTTAGCCCTCCCTTGGAAGCTGTAATCAGACAGAATGGGTACTGATCTTGAAAAGAAATGGCTGTCTCCAAGCTACTTGTCCAAAACCATCCATCAAAATGAGACAACTGCCTGCTTCAATTACCTTTACAAAATCTACTCTCCATATGGAGTCAAAACGCATATGAGTTAATTTCTTTTGCCCTTTAATCACAACCATTTTGGGGGGGTTCCTCCTCTGTATTCTGAGGGCTATAAAGCAACATCTTGACCACCTAAAATTCCAACACCATTGTGGGCAGCAAAAAACAGTCTCTTTTTTGTTATTATGGCATGTGGAGTAGATCCTAAAACAGGCCCTGCACCGTGACTGAACTGGTTTGTTCCAAGTCTTTCTCCATTATCACTTCTTAACTTTGCAATATGTATACTTTGCAATTTGTACTTGGTTTTACATAGTTGTAAATCACACTGATCCTATGAAGTTTAAAGTAAATTGTTTTAAAAGAGAAATTAAAGCTTGCGAAAACTGCCACTTCTATAGTATATTATTGAACTACACAAATGTCCTGAAATATAGTTTCTTCTCATCACTTTTATTCATATTAATCTTGAGAAAGAACTACATTCAAAATTTGTTAAACTAAACTCAAAACACACCATTGACAATGTGAGGTCGAAAGCTTTCATGGCCAGAATCATTGGGTTGCTGTGAGTTTTCCGGGCTGTATGAAGATACAGCCTGGAAAACTCACAGCAACCCACACCATTGACATATGGAGGTTTCTTTCTCCCTCCCCCCTCCTTTCCTTCCTTGTGAAATTGTACATTTGTTATGTTAATTGTTTAATTTTTGATAATGTCCTGGCTTTTTACTAGAGCTTTTGATCTTCGTTAATTTTATCAATATCTGTATGTATGTATTTTTATCCTTTACAATTTTAGCTTGTAAATCGCCTAGAGCATCTTGAATGGAGGGTGATTAATAAGTAATGTGTTATTACTTTTGATGTAGATGTGGTTATGTTTTGGGTGTGGGTGGGTTAGTTTATTTGACCTGGTCTAGTTTTTTACAGCACTGAATGTTTGCCGATATTTGTTGTTAACCATCCTTCTTCTTCTTCTTCTTCTTCTTCTTCTTCTTCTTCTTCTTCTTCTTCTTATTATTATTATTATTATTATTATTGGAGCCCTCAGTGGCACAATTAGTTAAACCCTTGTGCCAGCAAGACTGAAGACCGACAGGTCACAGGTTTGAATCCGGGGAGAGTGGGGATGAGCTCCCTCTATCAGCTCCAGCTCCACATGCGGGGACATGAGATAAACCTCTCACACGGATGGTAAAAACATCAAAACATCCAGGCATTCCCTGGGCAACGTCCTTGCAGATGGCCAATTCTCTCACACCAGAAGTGACTTGAAGTTTCTCAAGTCACTCCTGACACAAAAAAGTATTAATATTAGTATTAATGTTGCTCTAACATTTGTTCCTTTCTGCCTGTTCTTTCTGTCTTTCTTTCCAAATAAAATGAAAGGTAATTTTCAAAATATTTATATCAAAACAGAAGGTGCATTCTGCGATTTCCACTAGAAATATGGCAATACTTTCCTATATACTTTTATTTTATTACAGACAATTGTGGACTAAATATTATTGTTCACACAACAGTGCAAAAATAGAATTGTCTTGAATATTGTTTTACTTTAACAAGGGAAGATAGAAATACTGATAATAAATTATATGATTACATGTCTGTATAAATAAATAAATAAAGATCCATCTCTTGTCAAGGTTATCCACGGATCCATTTCTTTCTCCTCCCCCACTTCTACAGATTAAGACATGCTCAGGAGGCCCCAGTTTATCCCAAGCAAAGAGCAGGTGCATTGCAGAAAGAGGCTTTGAGAACAGCTGGAGGTAATTCACAGAAGTGAACAGAGCCTTGCTGCAAGGAAGTAAACACAGACACCGACACACTCTTGAAAAAAACCCGTAATGCTCTCCCACTGAGCAATTTACCAGCATCTGTATCTTCTGTTCTCATTTGGCACCAGCTACCACCTTCAGACTATACTGTGTTCTGAGTAATAACAGCATTACTTAATAGCCTAATGTGTGAAATTGATGAGACTATCATGCTGCAGGGACATTTTATTTATGTCTTCCTCAAAAATTACTGAAACGGAAAGCTTTACATTTACATTGGAAAAGGATGCTATATGAGGTTTGCAGTTACTGGCACAGTGACATAGGAAGCCTCATTGTGGTGAACATGTGGTACGTTAGCAAGAGGGGATGAACTTGACTGGCACTCACTTACCTTTATATCCTTTTCAAAACCACTGCTGGCTCCCTCCCCCAATAGGTCGATATTCCCCTTTTCTCTAGAAGTCGCTTTCACCCCACATAGATCATAACCATTAAACAGCCACAAAAGAAGTATATCTTTATGGGTTGTCTAATTAGTCTCGCTAAATTGTTTTTATTTTAATTTATGCGTAACATCAACTGCAAGCAGCCACTGGTGTCACTTCACGGAAACCGCTGGCTTGTTGTTGTTGTTGTTTTATTTCTTACAATCCTCCCTTCCACATAGATCTTCCCATTCACCTACAAAATCAGCTTTGATCATCTGAGGAAACCTATATTCAGAGCCAATTTTGAGTGCTGAAGCTGGAGAGAGAGAATACTGGATACAGGCTACGCTTTAACAAAAGAATAAACTGTGAAATTTGCACATTGTATGTACTGTACAATTATCCAGTGATAAACCAACAATAACACACTTTTATGCATTTGGTTAACTGTCCATCTGTAATATGCTTGGAAGTGATTAGGAGATTATTACCATCCATTTGCTACCAAATGGACATCCAGAGAAGCCAGAGGAAGCAGTAAAATTCATTTTACAGTTTTGTAGAGACTAGAGACCATCAGTTTTCCAAACATTATAAGCGTGCCTCCCACCCCTCCATGGAAGCCTTGAAGCCATTCCACCACCAACAATATCTACTCCTTTGCTTGCTTCCCTTCCATTTTGTTGCTAGCAGTGTGGACAAAGTAATCTGTATCAAGATGGGGGAAATGAAAACTGGGATGTGTAGTTGTGCTTGCTTCAACCTGAATCACAACACTTGCAAGTCATGAGATCACAAAAATTGCACATCCCATTGTACATCAAAACAAATGATGACTTCACCTTATTCTTGTAAGCAGCCAATAAGAGACTGTGGACCATAGACAGATGATGAGTTTTAGGGATGCTTAAGTAATTAAAAAATAAGCCCAGAGGAATTCAGAATGTATGTTACAGGAAGCATCAATTAAGGAGAGGCATGCTTGGGTATATTTGTCGCTATAAATGCCAACAAAGAGATAAGTTAATTCTGACATTAAAACAGAAAGTATAAGTAAGGAAAATAGGACTAAATTAAGGGACATGATGGTATCTTTCAGCTTGTAAGCCAGTCTCCTTAGGGATATGACAAAAAGAACAAAAGAGCATTCAGATGATTGCATATTCTGTGTTGACTAATAGAGCTGCATAATGGTAGATGGGAGGGTGACAAGCCTCATGGGATTCTAAGTGATAACTAAGAGATTCAAAGGCAGTGTTTCCCAAACTCTGTTCTTCCGAGTTTTGGACTTCAGCTCCCATCCACTTCACCACAACCCAACTCCCTTAAAGTCAGAATGACAGTTTTGCTTCACCTAGCATTAATTCCTCAGGTCACCTCAAGCTCTTTTCTAAGATGCATGAGCTTAAATCGATTCTCACTCCCATATCTACAAGTACATTTTATTTCACATCATTTGTCTGTCAATACAAGTTGCTCCCATCTTTCACCCTCTTACCTGTGCGACTTCTTCAAAATCATCATGTCTTTTCTGAAGAGCTCTTGCCCTATGAAGGGATTTTCCGACCCCAGTGTGTTTACTAAGAAAGGCCTCCCCATGGTTTTCAATCCAGTCCAGCACCTAGGCAGAAAAGAAAAAAAAATCTAATGATCTTCTATGGCTTTTAAAAAATGATCTGAATGTCAATAGATATTAACAGCACAACATCTTATGGACTCCATAGCCTGAGGAGTCTAGCTGCAGAAAGATTCAATGCTTTTTCTGAGCCAAACCCAATGAAAGCCATAGGAAAATGATTTTCACTGTTTACTGATAAACTGCCACTGGTGAATAGTTGTCATCTGTTATTTCAGTCATACATAACATGGATTTCTTGATGATCACTCAATGTTTTATAACAGAAATGTTGAAGGCAGTGATTTCATGGCTGGAATCACTGGGTTGCTGTGAGTTTTCTGGACTGTATGGCGAAGATCCAGAAGCATTCTCTCCTGCTTTGAATTGCTGGGTTTTAAAACAGAAACAACAACCCACCCCTTTGTCACCTGGAAGAGACATTAGCAGTATGTTTCCCTTATATGCAAGTCCCAATAAAAAAGAACCCCTTCCTTGGATGCACAATGACTCAATTCACAGAGATCTCAACCAAGACAAAATATTTAAATAAATCTGAGGTGGGAGGAAAGAAACACACTGTAGCTAAGGGCAGGGTAAGGATGCTTGCCATAGATGCAGGCGAAACGTCAGGAGAATGCCTCTAGAACATGGCCATATAGCCCAAAAAAACCCACAAGAACTGAGTTAACAGTAATTATAAGTATTTCTAATTCGGGGGAGGGGGGGGGACCATTTACATTGTTTGCCAAAATAGAATTTGCCTCTGAGCCTTCTTATGGCAGTATAAGTTTTACCACATCATTGTTACAAAATGCTTATTAGCCACTCCGATCAAGGAAATTATTGATGTGTCCCGATGTCTGTTCCTTTCCAATTATGCCATCGACTTTCACTCACCTATAATTTTACAAGAATGATTATGTGAGATGCTAGCTGGAAAGATAAATGTATATACCTCCTTTTCTCCTCTGAATTTCAGAGGACACACTTTTCATAAAATACACTGCTCATATTTGCAGAATTCAGGACACATAATTTCTCTTCTGGCCATAACCAGCAGAGGGTGCTTCCAGTACACAATTGTTAAATGCACAGCAGAGCCAAAACTATCTATATAGTTTTGGTTTTTGCATGTAAAGGACTATTCGTGTTCTCTTCCCCACCCCCAGATTTTTGTAGTACCACCAACACTATGATAATGTTTAATTAGTTTAACATTGAGACTATCAAATCTCCAGGCAGATCCTAAAGAGATGTGCCTGGAGAAATTCCACAGCCTCCATCAGCCATCCCTAGCAGCAGCACAGTCCCCAAGTGAGCCCTAAAAGAACAATTCTGGGAAAGCTTTGCTTTGGCTAAAAAGTCTTGTGATTCCACAGTGGGTCCTAAAGGGACCTACTGGAAGAAGCTGCCTCCTGTTTAGAGAACGGTTCAGCCCTTCAATTAAGGTAGCTCAAAGGCTTCAGTACTTTCCACTGTCTCACAGATTCCTGACAATGGGATGACACAGGGAAGTGCCCACTATTGGAGGGAAAGAGACTTCCAAGCTCTTTCTTTGAATTAGAGGAACTGTGGGCGCTTTTAGAGGAAGGAGGGGAAAAGAGCTTCCCAAGTGGTCCAAATTCTAAACTGAAAGAAATTGTGAATTGGGGGGGGGGGAGAGACGCTGAATCCTCTATGACCATGAACTTGTGGACATTGCAGATCCTACAAATATATCAAAACTGAACTCTCTGGTGCATATAAGCACTGCTCATGCCTTGACCTGGTTCCTGGGCTTGTCATTTGATCAGCTGTAGGTTTGATCTGCTTTTGTCCTTAATTAAATGGTCAGTGTAGTTCTGCCATTTAACTTTAGTCCCTGAACTGAAGTCTGAAAGCCTCCAAATAGTACATACACAGGGAGAAAGATCAGTTTTTTTTTCAGTAATGGGGTTTTTCCTCTAGTTCTGTGGTTCCTAACCTTTTTTTGACCAGAGACCACTTGACCAGGGATCACTTTGACCAGAGACCAATTGATCAGGGACCACTTTGACCAGGGCCCACTCTCCAACATTACTACCAAAAGGGTTATGAATCAGTTTTTGGTCAATGATGTGGTTTGGGATGCTGATTCAGAAAATTGCATTGGATAGACCACATCAGGTCTAGTTTCTGAAACAGAATATATGTCATGATCAACGACAGGGAAGGAGTAGCAGGCAGCGCGAAAGGAGTAGAAATAAAATAAATAAATAAATAAAGAGGAAGAAGGCTCACAGGCCAGATTTTCGTCCTCGTGGCCTACTGGTGGTCTGTGGCCTACAGGTTGAGAACCACTGCTCTAACAGCACGGTCACTCCATGACATAACACTTCCCCCTTTAAGGAAAAATCAAAAGGAAAAAAAGGGGGCTCCACTTATTAATCTAACATCACATGTGCAGAATCCTCACACTTAATGAAGAAATCCCACACTTTTAGAAAGACAGGAGTTTCAGATATGATAATAAGGAGAAAACAATAAAAGCAACAGAAAGAAAATCAGCATAAAGGAGACCTATTAAATGCTAATCCTGCATAATGGGCAACACTGCTTCTCAATTCAATTTAATTAAAAGAAAATTCTTCTCTTCTTGCATTAAAAGCCAAAGTTTGAAATAGGGGGAGAAGGGAAGAGAGAAACCATTTGTCACAACAAGCTAATGTCAAATAAAGGCTTATTAATAAGGGGGAATATAAATATCTAAAGAATATATCATTTGGCTTTTCCTGCCATTAAAGAACTCTAATGGATGAACTCCAAACAACCTAATCTTCTTATTGGCATTTAGAATATTTCTAAAAATATGATATTTGATTTTCTGCAATACTTTCTAAATTCTGGAACAATTACAAAGGGATAAATGAGAGATTCTGCAAATGACTCAGCTGGCAACAGAAATAAGATTAGAATCTATGGAGAAATGTAAATCTGTGTCTTTGTTTAATTAGAAAATTTATAGCAAAGAGTCAACAAACTTCAAAAAGGAAAAACTTCAAACTTCCAGAAGGGTAAGATGAGACTCCTGCTCAAGATCTGCATGAATTTGGCATGAGACTATAAAACTTGGCAACAGGTCAAAGCTTAGACTTAAAGAAAAGTGGCAGCTCAATGACAAAACAAGTGAAGAAAATCTGAGACTCCATATCTGGCAATTCCAAATGGATCTGATATTTTTGCCAACCAGACGTTTGTTCAGGATAGTTATTTTCAACAGTAAAGAAGTGTTTTCCCTCTTGGGAAACCATGTCTCAATGGGCAGTTATTTCCATTATTCATAAGCCACCTTTCAGCCTATAATGGGTGGCTAACAAAATAAGTAGAGCATTTAGACCAAACTCATCCTTTTATGTGATTTTGTGCAATTCTCGATGTCACCCGGCCTGATTCTGTATGGTAAAGCACACTCTCCCCTTTTCTACTAGATGGTACTAAGACATCTTATGAAAACATAAATTACTACATTTTCTAACTTGTCTGTGACATAGAAATTTTAAACATTTTTTAAAAACAGTTTGTTCTTAGATGCAGCAGAAATATATCACTCAAGTAAAACAAAGGATTTAAATGCCAGGGGTAAATTTTGCTTCCAAAATAATAAGGTATTTTAATACCATGCTTCAGGTGCTTCATTTGTAGAAATGAAAGCAGTTTTGCCTATTATGTTAACAAGAGCAAAAACAATTCAGAGAGTCATGGACTGAGTACTGGACTATGCCTCTGGAGACCAGTTTGAATACTCATTCAGCCATGGAAACACATTGGGTGACCTTGGGCAAAATACACACTCTGAGAACCTCATCCCAAAAGGTGCTGGAATCGGCATACATCATGGCAATTCCAGCAACATACATTGGGAGGTGGGGGCGAGCAACCCATTGCCCCATGCCCTACATCGCCAAACTTACCCAAGTCACCATCCCACAGGGGGAAACGTCAACTGCCCAGCTTCCTCAAATCGTCCCCAGTAGAACATGGGAAGTCTCCTATGTTGCTGCCATGGCAGCATGCTCCACTTCACCTTCACCTTAAACTTGGAGCCTTGCTGGAAATACCTGTGCATCATGTAATGAGAGCCAGCAAGACCTGTGCTTAAAGGGAGGGCGAAATGGAGCATGCCACCATGGTAGTCAGTTTTAGAGTGAGGCAAAGGCAAAAGGCCCTCTGAACAGATCATGCCCAGAAAACCCACTGACAGATTCATCTTAGGATCGCCATAAGTCGAAAAAGATTTTAAAGCACAGAATAGAAGAAGTCAACTTTATGAATGGATGAGAATTTCTTCAGATATGGATCAGATATAGGCTATTATAATAAGTAAGACAGCATTTCTCAACCTGGAGGTCAGGACCGCTGGGGTGGGGGTCGTGAGGGGGTGTCAAAGGGGTCACCAAAGACCATTAGAAAACACAAGTACTTTCTGTCGGTCATAGGGGTTCTGTGTGAGAAGTTTGGCCCAGTTCTGTCGGTGGGGTTCAGAATGATCTTTGATGGTAGGTGAACTATAAATCCCAGCAATTACAACTCCAAAAGTCAAGGTCTATTTCCCCCAAACTCCACCAGTGTTCACATTTGGGCCAGATCTATCATTGTTTGAGTCCACAGTGCTCTCTGGATGTAGGTGAATTACAACTCCCAAACTCAAGGTCAGTGCTCGGCAAATCCTTCCAGTATTTTCTGTTGGTCATGGAAGTTCTGTGTGCCAAGTTTGGTTCAATTCCATTGTTGATGAAGTTCAGAATGCTCTTTGGTTGTAGGTGAACCACAAATCCCAGCAATTACAACTCCCAAATGTCAAGGTCTATTTCTCCCAAACTCCATCAGTGTTCACATTTGGGTATATCGAGTATTTGTGCCAAGTTTGGTCTAGATCCATCATTGTTTGAGTCCACAGTGCTCTCTGGATGTAGGTTAACTACAGCCCCCAAACTCAAGGCCAATGCCCATCAAACCCTTCCAGTATTTTCTCTGGGTCATGGGAG